TATCATATGATTAACTTTAGTAGAACCGAATAATTGAATTTTCTTAATTAAATACCTACCTTACTGACTTGTTTATGCGAACTACCTCAGTGGTTTGTTTCCAAGTAGCTCAAGGAGGTCTCATCACAGCACATACCGTGAGTTTTCATCATGTTGTATTTTAAATTTTGTGAGATGAAATCATTATTCAACAAGCAATTCACCTAACAAGTTTGGATTAAATCTGTGCACACTATCAAAATCAACCACATGATGATATTTCACTTCATTAACATACTTGTTTTATCATCGGTTCTTCCATCTTAGTTACTATTCAACTCAACCATCCTTCGCCCCACTCCTCCCCGTACCATAAAAGCAAACAAATAAAAGTGAAGGGTCTCATCAACAGTGCGAATCCATCGACCCAACTGGGGATTGAATTCGGGACCTCATGCAGAACGCAAGCATACTACCCACTCGGCCACCAGGCAGCTGATCAGAACGTTTCTCTTTTGAATATACATGATATAGCAAAACCCATCTTGGCAAGCTCGTTCCAGGTCACGTACCTCGCTCATCTCAGCGCTAGTCTTCAGGGTTATGATTCGGTTGGAAACATACCCAACCTGACTACCTGATTTATATATGAGTAATGGAGGATTTGATTCAATTTCGAAGTGTTCAGTGCTTCCTAGCTTTTCAGTTCGTGCTTCATTTGTTATATACACGACGAATTCACCTCTGAAACTGAATCACATGAAATAAAAACGAAGACATAATGCATCATTATTCGATTTTTCCATTTGCTTTCAGAACACTTCGGCGCCAACTGATACAAGAGCAATTAACCCAAGAACCCAAGAACCTATTTATTATTTGTCCACGGCACGCAAGACAGTGGTGCAAGAAAGTGATTGTTCCGTGTTTGGAAGCGGATTTGTTCTTCCATCGAGCACCCAAACTGCGTCCAATCCGTGTTGATCGACCTACTCGCGAAAGAGAAAAACCTACAGGTCACAGTTCCGATCAGCTTGGTCAAACTGGACAGAACTCGAATCTCTCGAATAATGAGACTAGAAAAACCAGTTCCAAAAGTTCCACCAGACCTGATTGGGTTTCCGGTCCACAAACAGGTTCGTCCACATCCAGTGCTAAAGCACCCACCCCGGAACAGCCAAAAGGTCCGTGGGCTTGGCAACCGCGATATCGTTGTCATTTGGCTCCACCAGCACGGCATCGATTAGAACAGATGATGAAATCCTGTCAGGTTGTCATCATATTTCCCAGTTCAAGTCTCTTCACAGAGCCGGCATGTAGAGCTCAGATTCGTCTGACATTTCATCTCTGTCGATTGCAACGTATGCCCCCACCGGCAATCATTGTTTGGCCGGTTTCACGTGCGCACATGGCCATGCCCACAAATTATCACTTGGTCAGTCGAAGTAACAAACGATTAGATGAGGACAAGTATTATATTGCACCCGAGTTCGACTCGATCACAAATGATCCCCAAGATCCGGCCGAGACCGCTACTATTAAAGCGAAGGTACCCACACAAGAAGAAGCGCTAGAGATTATACAATATTTCTCCACATTAACTAGCCCTTGTATACACTGGTCCAATGTGAAGNCAGTTCGAGAAAATTTGGAACCACTGGTTTGGTGGCTAACTAAGGCCTCACAAATACCTGCATATTGAGTTCTGACACGCCTGGCCCGTAAAATATTGTACAGCTAACTGGAAGGATTATTATCGGGCACGTGACTGATTCAGACATGTACGGCAAATCTTACACCACAGCAACGCCTTCCCAGTGGAGCTTACCGGTTGACGGAACTGGTTGAATCAACTATGCCACGTTCCGAGCAGACTTCGTTATTTATGTCTTTCTATGGATCTACGTGGATCAAACTTGATCCAAACATATCTCAGGCATTATGAATGCCTGTGCGTGGTGAACCTTTTTCACACGCACACACACACATTAAATATTTATACCCAATCGATCGCTACGAACTCCGTTTTGTTTTTCATTTGTGTGCCAATGGGTCATTTGCTAGCCAAAGGCTCCGGTTGTGGATTCCTCAAGAGTATTCATCCGCCTTCGTCTGGGCAATCTGGCAGTAATATACAATTTACTAGGAACAAACGCATGGTCATCGTGTAGTATGCAGGACCGACCCCAGTTCTGAATACCCTCGAAACATACCAGCAGGAGGTTGATTCCGAGCAACACAGTCCGGATTTCTATATAAATAGTGTCGTCCCAAAAGGCCACACAATCCCTGGCCACTCACCGAAGTTCTCAATAAACAGGTAGGACACTTCTTCGTAGAGGGGGCTTCCAAGCAGCCCGCAAGACAAGGAAAATACAAAAAGCAGCCATGAACCAAAAGGTTCAGTGAGACATGTACACTACTCATACTCAATTCAAAATGACTGCTCCCTCCCCCACGGAAGAACATTGTCCTCGGTGTTCCGAACCACTGCCGCTTCTAACTTTGCCATGATTGTTTGCAATTTTAATGTCGTATCGAGCAATATGTGTTCTATCAACTCCTAGTTCAGTCGTCATAATCTCGAACCAAAGACATCTGTATTCATTTGATTAAATAGGAATGAAAATCACTGATTTCCTCGTCAACGCAGCATCGAAGTTCCCGATGGAGGAGGCGCTTAATAAATTGTCAGATTCTATCTGAATGCGGACTTGGTCGGGAAACTGATCATCTGATATAGTGTACCAAGCTTGACTAGTGCCTAGTGACTAATATTGTTATCGCGTCTATCACTAGACAAAAATCATGTGAGTAGTGCGTTGGACAGTGGATGATTCATTGAGCAAAATCAGCTCATGGGTTGATTACATCCCGTCCGGATCAAACAAAGAGAATTTGACAACCGAAGCGGATCTTACGAATGTTAGGTTGACATGAAACGTCATTGGAAGTGGCTCCGTAATTTCGTTTTTTCAAATCAGCTGGTGTGGTGCATAAGGTATTGATGTAATTTATGAACAGTTAGAAAAATTTTACAAATTTGGTCGTACTTTGGAATGATAAATTTCAACGAATTACAACTGAGTGTTCTGCATATTTTACCAATAGGGCCTCATACTTCTAGCCATTCTAAGCCCTGGTGCTTAGGCTGGATGTTTTGAAACACCAAAAACGACTCGGTTCTTCTATTCTCGTTTTCGTGAAACTGAAACTGAGATGTGCAATGAAAATGCTCAATGCTCACCATAGATCGTATGCGTTTATTGTCCGCCTCAGAGATGCACTTGTTTCATTAGCTGATTGCCACCATGGATACATTTGCTTGCTTTCAGATGCATAGAATGTGACAATTCAGTACGATTGAGATTGACCCCGCATAGCTGATTTTTCTGAAGACCCTTTCTGCAATCTGGTTGGATCATATTCCCCGAGTTGCGCAACTCTTATTCCTCCACTTGATCTCGAGACTATTTTCATTCATTGCATTTTTCACTTCCTTCCAGTGAATGATACGATTTTAAGGAAAGGGGAAGCGGCTAATCGAAGGGCTGCCATACAACACATAAGGAAAGGCGGCCTATGGTGGTGGGAAACGAATGCATGACCTCCGGGGGGGGGGAGGGGGCTAATTTGGTGACATTACCACCGGGCCACCAACGCCCGGTTTGTTTAAGATATTTCCACAATTTACTACTGTCCTGTCCTGTGTGCTGTGCACATTGATGTGCATGTTTTAGTCTGCTGGGTATCCTAAAACCCCAGAGCCGTCGCCAAGGTGCTTCGATTATAGCTCAGGCTCGGTGGTCATGCTTCACGCGTGATCGAGTGGCCGATTGATGAATGAACTCAATCGACTGTCATCGCGTTTTGGATTCGATTTTGAGAAAATCAAAAGAACTCTACAGAGTTCAAGTTCAAGCAGATTACCCAATCAAAATTAGATTTGTGTTAGCTCACAGGTAGAGGGTTCCGCCGTGAGTGATCTACAGGGTTTGATGTGGTAGGACTTTTTGTAGGAAAACATCATCTATACATGAGAACAGATGTTCTACTGTGTTATCGTTACATTGCTATTGTGGTTTAGCCATGTACTTAAGAACCATCGGGAGTTCACTTCGATAACTACAAAAAGGAATGCGCCAACATTATTGATGGATAAAATCTCGTAACTGTAGTCAAAGTGAGAGGACGAAAATCCAATATCCGGGGCTATAACCGGACCACTGGACCACTGCTAGTTTACCTCAGGCAGTTGACCAAAAAATCCGATTCCAAACCAACCACGAGATGTACGAACCACACCCACCCACACCATCTTGGTTGCGGTAGTGGTAACCGGCTCGACGGTGCATCGTGGTGCATTGGGAACCTTGGACGTTTGACCCCGTAAAAAGGGTATTTGATCTGATGAACTGGACACCTGCTCCCAATGGATTGCGGTTTTCACACACCGCCCTGCTGCCTTGCGGTTCCGGCTTTGGCTAGCCGAAGGCTCCGGTTGTAAATTCCCTATGAAAATTCACCTGCTGTGGCCTAGGTAACCTGGCTGTTATGTTCCCAGATCGCCCAGAGCGAGAGGAAGAACAAAGACCGTCTGATCATCGGATCCGTGTATGTATGCACTGTATGCACTAAACCACATGATAAGAGCGATAATCATGACATCATAAAAGGTCCAGGTCAATGACAATCTGTTCGCCTGCTGGCCACTGGCACCCGTAACACCTCCCTCCGTAATTCCTCGAGTGTCGTATGATTTCATTCGTGGGTTAACCTGGAGTGGCTGTGTGAAACGTCTAATACGATGAGGATATCTGGATACTGGCAGATGACCATTTCGTTGTGTAACCAAATCCAACCTTTGTGTATATGTTTTGTGGTCGTGCGGTGTCTGATGGAACATCGTCTAACCACTGGCATATCTGATCATCAGGGATGATATCTTCGCGCTCATCTGGAGTGTACTTTCTTCGTAGTTGATTTACGTGTCTGATCCACTTTTCTATTCCTACTTGCAGTTCGTACACAACTTGTCCTCGTTTTTCTTTTATAGTTCCTGAAGTCCATGTTTGACGATGTGTTCTGAAGTCTTTTGCATACACTTTATCACCAATATTGAATCCCCGTTTTGGTTGTAACTTTTGAACTTCCATTGGTGCCATACAACGATCGTTTGAGGGTAGTTTAGGGAATATCGTTTCGTATTTTGTCCTTATTTTCCTCCCCAACAAGCATTCACTAGGTGATACAGCACTTGGCACGTTTTCATTTAGAGTGATTCTGTAGTTCATCAAAAATAGGTCAATAATACTGTCTAACTGCTGGTTCTCCGGACATTTTCGTATGTGTCTTTTCAATGTGTCCACAAATCGCTCAACTTGGCCGTTTGGTTGTGGATGATACGGCGGGGTTCGTATGTGTACAATGCCATTGGATAAACAAAATTCAGAAAATTCGTGGGCTGTAAACTGGACACCGTTATCTGAAACGAGGACCTCTGGGAAACCCAATCTACAAAATGTGCTCCTAAGAAAGCGGATTGTCGACTGGCTATTAGGGTGTTTTATAATGCCAGTTTCTGGCCACTTGGATGTAGAATCAACGGCAAGCAACAAATAGACGTCACGAATCGGCCCAGCAAAATTAATATGGACGCGGGTCCATGGTTTCCGCGCAAACGGCCATGATTGCGGTTCAACTTGTGGGGCTGATTTCAAAGTCATTGCGCATTGGCTGCACTCTCTAATCAGCTCTTGAATGTCCTGATCCATAAAAGGCCAATAAACATAACTACGCATAAGGGATTTCATCTTGTTTAGTCCCGGATGTGCCTCATGGAACTGTTTCAATACATCCGTTTTCAGTGATTTTGGTATGACTATTCTCTCTCCAAAATCAAGACAGTCATTTATAATTGACAGAATCGCGTCGTGTAAAAAACTCGAATTGACGGTTCATAAATTCTCTTTGGCCATCCATACTTCATGAAGTTCTTAATATCGTTGATAGCCTTGTCAGTGTTGGTGGCTTGCTTGATTACGTCTGCAGTTATTCTCAAGCAGGAGATTGCATTTATGAGTACATGTTGAACTTCTGTTTCAACATTAACTGATGTAATAACCTGTTCTTCGTTGGAGCTATTAAACGGGACAATGCATCAGCATGCCCAATCGCTGAGGATGATTTATGTTCAATCTCTAAATTATACCCCAGTAAAATCTTTGCCCACCTTTGTAGTCGGTTAGCGGTGTGCACAGGTATACCCTTTTTTGTTAAAAATGGCGGCTTGTGATCGGTTTTGAGAATAAACTTTCTTCCATGGATCATTTTATGGAACTTGTGTATGGCAAAAACAATCGCCAAAGCCTCTTTCTCAATTTGACTGTAATGGTGTTCGGCAGGTGTTAACGATCGGGAGGCGTGTGAGATAGCTTTCTGCGAGCCGTCCGCTAACTGATGTAGGATGACTGCTTCTATACCATAATCCGAAGCATCCGCTGCTACACTAATGTCAAGTGATGGGTGGTAATGTGTTAACAATAAAGGGGATAACAAAATCTTTTTGACTGATTCAAAATCATGTTGACATTCACTGTTCCAAATCCACTTGGTTGAAGGAGAAAGTAAATTGTTTAAGGGGGCTCGGAATATGTGCATATCAGGTACAAACTGATTGTAATAGATGATCACGCCTAAAAA